GGGGTCCGCATCCTCCTCTGCGCCCCCTCCCTCTAGACCCCACGTCACCCGGGACCCCCGGGGAGATAGCTCACGACTCTGTCGGCGCCTGGTCCCTGCTTCATTAGTGTTTTCTGGGGCTGGCACAACTGGGGGCCGCTGCGCCCTGATCCCCTGCACGCCGGCCCTAGCCCCGTTTAGTTTAATTCCTGATCCTTTCACCCTTTCCACTCGATATACCCGCAAACTGTGCTTCCTGCGGGCCCCGTGGAAATAGCTTGCATCGCAGATGGTCAAAACACCCATATGACCCCTCAGCACCTTTGCGTGGCCTCCCCCCCCCCCCCCCCCCTCTCCACTCCCGTCCCAGGTAAATTCTCCTCCAGGCTCTTGAGCAAGTGACCTCGTGTGCCCTGCCAGGCCCAGCGTGCAGCTGTCGGCACTGGCACGGTCCTTGTATGCCCCATGACCATCGTGCTGGGATGGAGAACGTGTCCTAATGAATTTCCTTCATCATCTGTGTACCCGCAGTCACAGTACTAGTTTGGTTTGTCAGTCGTGTGTTATGTGTGTCCTCCATATTCCAGATGTAGCCTGTGTTTTTTATACCCTTAAAAGATCCCCTTGCTAGGTAGACACTGAGGACTTGCGTCTCTCCTAGGTGGCCATAATTGCCATCGTGACAACCCAGCTCCATGGGTCTGATGAGCAGGTCCCATCTATACACTCTTCTTAACTCCTGTGTGTGGACAGCTGAGGACCAAGAGGGGAGGCATGGTGGCTGGGAGGGGTATCTCAACTGAGGGGTGCTTTATTCTTTATTTTGTAAATGCAGCTCTTCCTTTTGTAATGTCCAGTAGCTTAGGAACTCCTGCTTCACCTGCTTCATATTTAGTAACTACCACGCTGCGCGGAAGATTGACTGCCCTGTGTCTGTTCTCCAGTCTGGGGTACTATGCTCAACTTTCTGCAGCTGTCACTTCATGGTTTTGTTGATGGAGGAGAAGTGAACGATGCCTGCATTTAATTTGCTGTTATGATCACGCCTGGCTTCTGTGTAATGTTTTTTATTAGGTCTGGAAGTGCTTTACACTAGAGTTCACTATCTTTGTCCCTGTTTTACAGAGCGGGGAAACCAAGGCACAGATAAAAACTAAGTTTACCTGTGGAGCTCTCTCGAGTGAGCACTTTGGGAGTTTACTGCCTCCTGTGCTTAGTAACCAGTTGTTAATTTCAGTTTTCTTCCCCCATGTTAATTGTAGCTCCACTATTTAAGGTTTAACGTTACTTTCTGTTTCTGAGGTCATTTATTCTAATTGCTTTAAAATTAAATTGCTTACTTGAATCGCCTTGAATTTTGCTGTATCTTGAGACAGTCCAGGTTTTGTGGTCCAAATTTAGAGTCATTTAACAAAGAGATTCTCAGACTACAACCTCCCTTCCAATGAGCTGTTATAAAATCACCATTTTTTGGATAATTTTTGGACAAGTGTAGGGCTCATACTATGACACTGAGGTCAGTTGCTCAGAATTTCTGTTAGGGTATAACATCCTCCATCCTGCTGGAGAAGCAGTATTGAAAAACAATTCAGCATTAAGTGCAGAATTTCAGGTTGGCACATGATTTATTTGTGCAAAATTTGTAGGTGCAGCAGAACTTCTAACAGTCAAAGAGTTTGCATGCAATCTGTCAGCATAGGAGATATAGTAATGGTAATTTTTTCCTGAGTTAGAGCTTAAACTTACAGTGTATAGCTACAACCTTGGCAGTTTTCAAATGAATATATTTCTTTATCCCTTGCCTTAATTCTGCAGAGGATCCTTTGAGAAGGTTTGGCCTGAGACATGTCTAGCAGCAGTCTTTTTTCCCCTAAAGTCCATGTGCAGATTCTGTTTTAGAGATATTATCCAAAAATTAGCATTAATTAAAGAGAAGATGAAAGACTCTCTAGCGAACAGTTAGCTTAATATAATTGTGACTCATGCATTTTCTAAACAACGGAACACAACATCCTCAAGAGGTAACAGGTGGGCAGGTCATTTGGTCAAGGGGTTTCTGATATACAGTTCTCCAAACATGAGTTGTCTGTAATATTTTAAATTTGTACAATATAACTTTTCCTTGACTGTGCCCCAGAAGAGGGGTTGGGGGGTTAGAGCAG